AGCTTCCTAATTGCTCCCCCTGCTTCCAGGCTTGCCTCTCGAAATCTTTTTAAGAATCACATGTTATCTTGTTACTTCCCGTGGCTGCCTGTTGTTTCCTGGGGATTAAGCATTAACTCCCGAGGCTGCCCCCCAAGGCCTGATACACCCTTTTTGCTGGGGGAGGGCACACACACTGTCACCCATACGTCACCTTGCACCTCCATCCCACCCGGTCCTGTTACTTGATTCTGGACCTGGCCATTGCACGCTCACACCATTGGTTAAAAAACCATTCATTTCATCTTCACACCATCCCTTGGGGGGTCGGGGTGGGGGCGGTGCCGATTTCCCTCACTGGAAATAAGATTTCCCTTATGGGAAATCTTTGGGGCCAGATGTGTTTCCAAACTCAGCATTTTTCATGTTTTAAATAAATCCTGCAATATGGTGCACATACTTATGTAATCCTCCCCAAACTCTTTAATGAGACACATTAATTCTGTAAAAATATAGATACAGATATAGATACCTTCTTATGGAGTGGGATAAATATAAACGGCTTCACATCGGTTCAAGGCTGACTTTGCTGCCTAAAAAATTCGTCGGTTTGGTTTTTGCTATCCAGTGGCTTCTGTTTTTAATTTCAGAATTGCAAACGAAAGACTATGACCCATATTGTCTGTCCCCTCCTATAGAGCAAACGAAGTTTCAGGCCAAGAGGAAATAATTTGACAAAAGTCACACAATCAATGAAGGACAGGGCTCAAGTCTGACTCCAGCTTCGGTTTTCACAGCATCAGACTTGGTGCCCAGTAACCCCCTCACTGGAAAGAGCTCTGGGCCCCCAAATCATTCAATAAGAAATATTTACTGGGGGCACCTGGGTGGCTCAGTCGGTCAAGCGTCTGACTTCAGCTGGGGTCATGATCTCACAGTTTGTGAGTTCAAGCCTCGCCTCGGGCTCTGTGCTCACAGCTCAGACCCTAGAGCCTGCCTTGGATTCTGTGACTCCTTCTCTCTCTGCCCCTCCCCTGCTCATGCTCTGCCTCTCTCAAAAATAAATAAACATTTTTGAAAAATTAAAATGGCAAAGAGAGTTTAAAAAGGGTTGACAATGTCACTAAAGGTCCTAGACAAACTATTCTCCCTAAAAGGAATTCCCTCCTTACCATCAAGGGAGAAAAGAGAGCATCAAGAGACTTCTGTCATTCCATTTGTGCATACAGCTCACTGGGTTATTGTCTTGGGCCTCAGGTTCCCCATCTGTCAAATGAGGGATTCGTTCATCCATTTATTTAACAAATGTGTGCTGTGCTAAGCCTGCTCTGCCTAGCCTTGTGCCCAGCTCTGCAACATAGAAATCCAGCAGACATGAAGCACCTGCCCTGGGAGAAACCAGTTTGCCGACATCATAACTGCACCAGAGGCCTGTGCAAAATATGATTGGAATACAAGAGAGGACTGGTGAATCCCCCCCTCCGCCCAGGTCGTGGGCTTCTGCTGAAGTGATGTTATTTGAATTGGGCCGCAAAGGATTTTTACTTGTCAGGCCAAAAGGCAGCTGTCCAGGCAGAGGGAACAATGTGTACAAAGGTACAGAGAATAAACGATCTGCTCACGGACTGCTTGTGGTTTGATATGGTCCAGAGAGTAGGGGACAGTGGCAGGAGACAAGCTTAGGAAGACAGAGTTCAAAACCTTCAAATTGGAAGGTTTGTAGGTTTGGGATTCTTTTATAGGGTTTTATAGGGTTAAGCGTATCCTTTCTCCTTCCAAGAACGTGTCTGAGGTTACACGCCAAAACGTGTGCAACTCAACAAGAAAAAGGTAAGCAAGTGAGGGAAGGGAAAGAAAATGAAGCCAGAAAGGGATCACACGCCAAACACGCATCATAGAACTCTGTGTTTGTGCCAGAGTCGTCCTTCCATTTGGTTCCGAGCCTCTGTGCAGCCACGTAAAAA